ATCGAATTGTCCACTGCCTGCGCTCCGAACAGAGTTTTGCTCTGTAGAGTAAAAAGATAAATATGCGCATGGTCACCATGATGGTCGTATCAGTCGAGGAAGTAGGTGTTTATACTCATGTTTGGCTGTACCACTCGCCCGATGGCGCATCGATGTATACGGACGTCGGTAAGCATCAATTCTACATGGTGGCTCGAATGCGAGCTGGAGATTTCGATGTACATCATCGGAGGCTTACACAGGAAACAGGTTTTTTCAAACGGGATCTATCCATTCTCAAACCATTTAAAAGTTGCCGAAGGCAATCTAGAAAACTGTGGAAGACGCAACTCAGTGCCAGAAGGAAAAAAAAAAGACATCTTTGATGACTTTCGCCACACAGATTTCTCCCACAGCAGTGCACGACTTGAATTATTTCTCATGACCCAGTTCCGTAGCCTTGTTGATCCTCTGACGGACGCTGGCAGACGTTCGATCGTTTCGTTGAGTCGTGGATTTTGCTGTTGGGCACATCTCGATATGACGTTGTCCGGTCGTGCTAAATTTTATCCCGCGTTGTATGATGTCTTTTATTGAGGGCTCGTTATGGCAGCCCAGGCATACGCCGTACAACTTTGCCCTCGTTCCGCGCGTGGATCTTGAGCTTTTCCAAGATAGGCGACCGCGCCCAGCGTTCCGGCGGCGTGCGCTCTTCCGTCGACCAGTAGTAGATGTCCCAGTCGGCCTCGTCGAGGAGCTTCGAACCGCACCGGTAAGCAAATTTACAGAAACGAGTACAGAAAAGCGGAACCTTGTCGTACTCGTGCAGCTCCGATTCCGACATGGAATGCAAGTGCTCGCGCGCAAAGGTGCTGAGAATGAGATCACTCTCGAGGGTGCCGCGCTTGCGGGACTGGTAGACGAGCCGGGAGCGTAAAGTCGCGACTTGTTCGTTTGGCCGTGGAAGAGGGGTTGGAGGAGGGATATCTGTGGGCGAGGCTGTTGATGCGAGATGCTCAGGAGTATGGGGTAGAGGCCAAGGGTCGGCGTGGAGGGTAGAAGCTCTTGAGAAGAGTCTGAACTGACGGGGGAGGCGACGCAGGGTTGCGGAGAACATGGGTGCAGGATGGAAGGGCCAGGTAAACGACAATAAATAAGTGGAGTCAGCTTCAACACGTAGTACATTTTCCGTGTAGCCGTCAGATACATTTTAAAGGGCGAACAAGCCATGTCTCACTGCTATGGCTATCTTGAGGAACGCTGGTATGTTTCCTACCGTCTATTCAATACTGCGGCTTACCCAACCCAGGGTTGTTTGAATGCTACCATATTACCCGACATTTTCTCGGGCTGGATTCCTGTGTCGTGCTTTCTGCTCAGTACACCTGTGCGGACGGTAATAGACTCTCAAAGGAGCTTCTCTTTCCGTCACTCAAGAAGGTCATAGAGAACCACCCAATTCTATCCGTCAAGGTGGATGGGGAGGATTCCAAGCCGTCGTTTGTCAGACTCGAGACGATTGAGCTGCCTCTCGTCGTGCAATTCTCCGACCACGATGACCTGGAGGGTGCTATTCGGCAACAACTGTCGCGGCGCTTCAATACTGCTGCGCAGCTCCCGCTATGGCGCGTCGAGGTGCTCAAAGACGACACTGTCATTCTGGCTTTTCACCACGGAATCGGTGATGGACTCAGCGGAGTAGCGTTTCACCAGTCCTTACTGACCGCTTTGCAAAATACTATCATACCTGATGATTCAACTTTGGTTGCGGTGCTCCCATCGCTCTCGCTTCTACCTCCAATAGAAACAGCGACCAACATTCGGCCCTCCCTCCTCAAAGTATTGACAGAGGTCTTCTCCCTCTTACTTCCCACCTCCTGGACAAAAGGCTACTCCGCGTGGACAGCGAACCCCGTACCCCCAAACCCGGACCTCGACCCTCGCATCAAGCTCCTCACATTCACCGCCGCCGAAATGACCGCCTTCGCCGCCGCCTGTCGTTCACACGGCGCCACCGTGACGTCCGCCTTGTACATTTTGACAATTGCCACGCTCTCGCGCCTCGTCCCGCCCAACTCTCCGCAATACACGACGCTCTCCGCGTACGTCGCTGTCTCCCTCCGGGACGTCGCCAACACACCCGCTGCCGCCATGTGCGATTACGTCGCCGCGCACCACACTTACCCCGCCGTGCACCCCGCATTCGCCTGGCCTGCCGCTGCACGCTACGCGGCCGACCTGCAGCGCCAGAGGCGTGGCCCCGCCCGCGAGGAACTCGGCATGCTCTATCTCCTTTTCGGGAACATCGCAGGCTTCTTCCGCGGGCAGTTTGGGCAAAAGCGCGGCGGCACGTTCGAGATCTCGAATACGGGGCGAGTGGCGGTAGCGGAGGGAGCAGGACCGTGGCACATCGGGCGCATGACTTTCGCGCAGTGCAATGTCGTGATCGGTCCCGCGCTGGTGCTGAATATCATTAGCGACCCAACCGGCGCTGTCAGCGTTGCATTGACATGGGGAGAAGCTGCCATCGAAGAGCCACAAGTCGAGTCGTTCGCAAGAGAGTTCGAGCAGGGGCTCCGTACACTGGCTTATGATGGCAAATAACAATTCTGATGAATACAAGTCGCTATTTTCACACTAAAATTCATCCTCGTCTGTTTCTCGTATCCGACCATGCACATTACGACGGAGGTGTATTTCTCTTTTTTTGAGTTCTTGGAATTATGCTCTTATCTTACTCTTTCGGTGCATCATCGACCCTCCACTGAATCGGCTTGAAGCTACCCCCGTTGCTCTGCAGTGCGGAGCAGGCCGTCAATCCAACTACCGCGCCCACGTCCGCCACAAAGCCCACGTGGTCCCCCGCCTTGCTCAACGGTGGAACCACCCTCAACGCGCCGGTCTCACCATTGACGACGACATTCATGAAGCAGTTGAACGCAATGGTAATCGCGTCCTCCTTGATCCCCCATGGTGCAAGCGCCTCGGCAAAATTGCCGAAACAGCCTGCGGCGCCTTAGATGATGCGGAACGTGTCGCGCGAACATGATGTCAGCAGAAAATCGTGACGGCGGACGGCGTCGTCAGGAGGACATTGGAGCGGTCCGAGTAGAGGTCTGGAGTGGTGACGGAAATACGAGAAGCGTAGTCCACGGTGCGGCCGGAGGAGATGCCTCGCGAGGGTCGGCGGCAGAGAAGGCGAGCATGTCGGAGACCTGGCAACCCTGTGGGTCGATCACAGTGAGTTTTTGGCCGGTGCGGAGGTTGCAACGTTGAAGCTTTGGAGACTGTTCCGGTTCTGGGCGCAATTTCGTGGATTAGACCCGAGGAAGGATAAAATGGTGGTTAGAGAGAGAAGAGTAGGATGCAGCCAAACAAGGACATGCAGATGCATTTTGGATTCACCATTCATGCAGCAAGCTTCAAGCCCCCCATAAAACTTGGCAGATGACATTGAGGCACATTATTTGCGGGGCTTTGAAGCCGACCCCATACTATCTTCGTCCAACAAACCAAGGCTCGGCGCCTCAGGGGCCTGGAGCTTGCTATCTATCAGGTCAGTTACTTGAAATGCCTCCTCCTCTGTACGTCTTTCTGGCAATGTCTTGGCCTCGTTTGGTTACGACTCCTATTCGTGATTGAATAAATTGACAACGATCTGACAGTCAGATCCGCGCAGTACTTTGTGTTGAGTTTCCTCCAAGGACTGCGCGCTCACTCAAAGACGACCGCAGCTCTACTGCGCGCTCTGGTAGATTGCTGTCAGGCTGATAACGTTGACCTGGTGGAACCTGATATAAACGAGACTTGAGCGCACTCTTCCCTCCATCCTTCATCTTATGGCGGTCGAAAAATACCTCACTTTATCTGACGGCAGAACTCTGGCCTACCAGGATGTTGGGGACCCATCCAGCTCTTTCGTGGTTCTTTTTTTGCACGGAGTCTTTGGTATTGGATCCGCCCCCAAAATCCTCTCCCCTGCCCTCGTAGAAAATAAAGCGCACCACATCACGCCTACCCTTGCCGGCTGGGGCTTGTCATCTCCCCGTCCCTCTTCTATGAGCTTCACCGCCGCTCTCACATCCGACATGACAGAGTTAATGAACCACCTCCACCCAGACAGCCGTGATCTGCGCATTTACGTCGCCGGCGGTTCGTACGGCACTATTCCAGCCCAGATGCTTTATGGCGCACCGTTCGATACCTTTCCGCTCGGTCGAAACATAGTCGGGTGCCTCCTCGGAGCGCCGTTTTCCCCCTTCGAACATCACAAGGAATACACCCACTCCATGACATGGATGAACTGGCTTTCCATAGGCCCTCCAGCGCGGATCCTCCCCCTGCAGCCCCTTCAGCGCATGGCGGTGCTCGGACTCTCGATGAAGCTCAACACGGAGGAAAAGGCCGAGGCGTTCCTGCGCGACATGCTCTTCGATAGCGCGGCGCTGGACGAGCGCGAGGCGTTCGCGCGCTGGCGCGAGTCGCATGGGATCGAGGAGGGCGTCTTCGAGAAGCAGATGGCGGCGAACATGGTGAAGAGCATCTCCAAATCGTGGGCGGGGTTCATCGAGATCGCCGACGTCGCGCATTCGGACTGGGGTTTCTGCCCCAACACGCTCGATGAGGCACACACCGTCGGCCGCCCGATGCTGATCGCTGCGTCTGAAGCGGACGATTTGGGACCGGACATGGCAAATTGGCTCAAGGCGAATTACAAGAATTCCGCGTTGGCATGGGTTCCTGGAAAGCATCTGTCGACGCTGTATGAGCTGGACAATCTGTGGAGCCAGCTGTTGGCAATGAAATGAGTCGTTGGAGACTGGGTAACATAGGCATTGATCATATACTATATTACGAACGTAACGAATATTCCGCAGTCCAGACTTATTGATACCGATTGATTTCACCGTCCCTTGCACTGTAAATTTCAGAGCTGCTTCCAGTAAAGGTCTTAGGTGACCAAATTTTCCAGTGTGGTTACGATCGTCATTCAATACATCTATATGTCTTCACCGTTCATCGGTTCGATGGTGTAGTTGGTTATCACTTCTGTCTAACATCGCTGCGATGGTGCACAGGCGGTCCTCAGTTCGAACCTGGGTCGAATCATGTTTTGCTTCCTCGACGTTTCACATCTTTTGATTATCGATTATCGCCCCATCTCCCCTTCCTTTTGCATCCGGGAGTATCTGATTATCCCTTTACTAGTAGTTGCCTCAAGACTCCGTCTAAAGTGCATCATTTAATGCGTCCAAGGCGCCGGGAACCACATAGATGCACGAAAAAAAACGAAAATGATGGGATGATTCCATTTTGGGTCGATATATTATGTAATCGGATGAGTGAGTCCATTTCGGGTGGTGTGGCTTGGATCATTCGCGTCCTTGTTGCAACTTGCTCCCGTGCGACTGGCGATTCAACGGCCCAGTTGGTACATACTCAGCTTACTTATGTGGCAAATCGACAAACTCTGAGTCTCTGTCAAAACCGTGTAGCAAGTCATTCAAGTTGTCGTGCCACCCTGTGCCACCCCTGGCTAGTCGCTCCTAGACTCCAAGTACAAAGGCTCGTACGTCGCATGTCGTAACCGGCTCAGTGGGGCCAAGAATTAAATAAATACACCGGTTTATTGCGGGCAGCGACCATCGAGATTGTAGAGCGTGAGGGGGCTTGAGGCAAGAAAGAGGAGAGTGGCCTTGACTTCGCCGTTGTGTCTTTGACCAGTATGGCAGTAACCCTCGGTAATTACCATCCGGTCAAGCGCATCAACGAAGATCGACGACAGCTCGCGTAGACGGCGACATAATCCCCGATGACAGATAAAGTACGTGATATTGAATGACATTTGCTCGTTAATCCAAAAATATGTCGAATGACAGACCACATTGCTTGTTAATCCAAAAAAAAAAATTGCGTGGATGTGTACAGTAAAAGCGGTGATCCTTGCTATAAGTCTTGATTTGTTTAGTCGGCTACAACATCCCTTTTCCTCGTTTCTCACTCACCATGTCAAAAAATATAGTCATCGTCGGCGGCGGCACAGGTTTAGTGGTCTCTTGGTATATAGTTGTCAGTCATTCTAACGCATACTTAGGTGGTGGAGCAACGGTTGCGCGCGCCCTCTCCTCAAAACTGCCGACAGCCAAAGTCACCCTCATTAATCCGCTTCCTTATGCCATCTCTCGCCCAACGCTTCCCAGAATGACCGTTGCGAAACTTGAAAACGAACCCGACCTCGTCGATACCGCCTTGATACCATACGACAAGCTTTTTGGGAAGAGTACCAACGGCACTTTTGTCCAGGGCACCGTTGTGACTATCCAGCCAAATGAAGCGGGTGGCGTCGTGGTTCTTGCGGACGGTAAACAACTGCCGTACGACGTGCTCGTTCTTGCTCCAGGTTCCCATTGGGGAGGCTTCTTGAACATCCCGGATGACCCCAAAGCAGTTACCGCGTTCATCGCCGCCAGCCGCGATAGCTTCAAAAACGCGCACAAAATCGTGCTTGTTGGAGGAGGTGCTGTAGGTGTCGAATACGCAGGTGAAATCAAGGACGTGTGGCCGGTACATTTCCACAACACCGATGTGGCTCCCGCCTTGATTTTTTTTTGCACAGGAGAAGGAAGTTACCATCGTTCACGGGGGGGATCGCATTATGAACTCCACATATTCCTCTGGCTTCCGGAAAGGGCTCGAGAAGGACTTACGTGTGCGTGGAATCAAGATCATTTCTGAGGACTACGTCGACGAAATTCCCCCAACTGGACCTGCTACCGTCAAGACGCGGAAGGGACATGTACTTGACGCCGACCTGGTCGTACGTGTTACGTCGTCGCATACCGTTTCGTACCTTACCTTTCTTCAGCTCCCTACAACAGGACCCCGCCCGCGCACGGAATTCGTTGCCGAATCTCTCGGCGCCGACACCCTCGACGAGAGGCATCAGATCAAAGTCAAGCCAACATTACAACTTCTTCGTCACGATGCCATTTTCGCATTGGGAGACGCTATCGCCTGGGATGAGCAGAAGCAAGTAATGAAAGCTATGGCACATGCTGCGATCGTCACCTCGAATGTGGCTGCATACCTCTCTGGTGGTCCACTCAAGCCGTACAAGGGGAGCAGTGAAATGATAATCGTTACCAATGGCAAAGTGAGTTTCCAATCGTGTAGACATACAGCGCATATATCTCATTGCATATCCGAAGAACGGCGGGAGGGCATACATGGCGGGCATTACATTGGGGGCCTGGTTTGCCAAAATGACCAAGTCCAAGTCACTCTTGGTCCCCATGACCCGCGGCGCCATGGGCTATTAGACTTTTCTTCCTGTCGTTCCTTCGGTTCCTGCCGTTCCTTCGGATTTCATTTATTGTACTCGAACACCGTTTTATTCTTCAACTCCATTTCTGATGCATCGAACGTCGAACTACTCCAGCCTCGGTGGTCTTGTTTTGGCAATGTGTTTCAAAGAACCGTTATAAATACCTTCTTCCTCGCTCCCTGTACCAGATCAGATGCCCAATAGATACCCGACTAATCCTATGCTGCGCGGAGTTGGCATATCACTCGTAGACATTCTTAAGTACATTGTCATTTCACCTTTGGGGTGTTGAAGTGCAAACGAATTTGAACCGTGAGAACCTTTTGCGCATCTGATCAGACCTGTAATCACCTGTTAACCAGATTCATCCATCTTAGCATCGAATGCACGAGCATCCCAGTCTATTGAGTAGAGGATAGCATGCAGCCAGAGTGTCATTATGAAGGGCCACCAGCACGAGCCAGCTTCTTGTCGTGCCCTCTCTTGCGGTTATTGTTGCCGCGACTGGCCTTGGACTTGTCCTTCCAGGCCCGTTCCCGCGCAGTCGCATCGTCACCTCCACCTCCACCCCGGCCCCTGCCGTTTCCTCGTCCACCACGACCGGCCCGTCCACGGCCACCGCGCTGGGGGCCGGCCCTCGAAGACGACCCACCAGGTGCATCCACGATGATGGCATTTTGGTTCCCCGAAAATTCGTGCTTCGCGAGGATTTTATCCTTATTGGGCTACGATAACAAGTCAGCGCGGAAATCAAGTTTCTGAACAAATAAATGCGCACGTTTCTCTCCAACATGATTCTCCAGCCCTCGAGCTGCTCGTCGCTCCATCCTGAATCGAGATATATATCAAAGCCAGTTCGAAAAAGATAAACTGGAAACCACGAACCAGTTTGAGCCTTCAGATCTGTCCTCGGTTTCCCTCTCTTCGTTTGCGCATCTCGGTCGAAGAGCTTTGAATCGCGAATATAAGCCAGCTCGCAAATAGTTTCGGGGCTAAGAGCCTCCTCTTCGGCATCGTTGTCTTCGCCGCCGCTCTCTTCCCCGTCACCAGCGACCTTGATATGCGTCAGAGCAGCGTCGATATCCAAATCCCCGTCGTCCCCGTGTTCTTTCATCTTGCCCTTCCCTCCGTCATGGGTCTCTTCCTCATCCTCGTCGTCCGAGATCTCTTCCGCCCTCCGAAGGATGTCCGCCTTCATCTGTTCGATAAACGTCCGATTGCGAAGCACCGAGTCTTGGCTGCAGACACCATCAGTATGCTGATATATAAAGAAGAAGTACGTACTCCGTCTTCTTGCCCACCCGGACGTGAGCCAGGTTCATGCTCTCGTCGTCGTAGATATTCCTCCTCACATAGCCAGCGATCTCGTCCGCTTTCGCAGGAGACTGCAACTCCTCTGATGAAGGCGCAGTTCCCTCAAGCAGTGCTTCCACGACCTTCTCCGGCGTCGCGTACGATGGGTGGGAGAGAAGCGCACGAATATACGCCGGGTCATGCTCAGGGAGAATATCCAGCACTTGCGTGACGTTGACGTCGAGTTCTGCATCCTCGACAACGGTCGGACTCAGGGGGGAAACGTCCTTTCCTTTGCCCTTTGCATCGGGTTTCTTGTGATGGTAGCCTTTGCCCAGATTATCGACCCCGGGTGCGATACCCGACGACCGCAGCAGAATCTTGAGCGCCCCAGGTTCCTTGTCCGAAGAAGAGCTGAGCGCCGATTCTAGAAGATCGACCCGCGCATCCTTCTCCTCCGCGTGGCGGAGGGAGGACGCTAGCGTGCGGGACAGGTCGTATGTTTGCTGATAGTCCGCCAGCAACGAACGGTCCAGAAATGGAGTTTGGCTGGGATTGGGCTGGGACGAGGATGGCAATCCGAGGAGCGTAAATATAATGTCGAAAGTACGGTCAGCTTCAACGGCGAGCGCAGTTCCGCTGGAAGAAGATAGGTCATCGAGAAGGGAGCGGACAATGATGTGGAATGCGTCCACCAAGGAGACCTTGGTTTCGACCCAGATCCGCTCCCACTGAAAAACGGTTCAGATTTCAAGGAAACATATATGAAAGAAGTCTGACCTCATCAGAATCTCTAGAATCGGACACTGAAAGGCCGCCATACGAGTGTGCAAGCGTCGACAAGCCGGTGTCGTACGCTTTGGCAAGCGCCACAATGAAATCTTTGGAATGTGTAAATTTGCGCAGAGTTGCTTTCGGACACACGTGTAAGAAAGCCGAGATGCAATAGCCTGTTTTTCGCAAGGCGTAAAGGCCCTGCGAAGAGGAGAGAAGAAGGGTGAGTGCTGGCACAAGCTCGGCTTCCACCTCCGGAGGCGTGGATTCGAGGCCAGCGGCTAGAATAGCACGTGTGGGGGTAGAATTTGTGCGGGCGTAGATTATGGAAAGATCGACAAGTGTTTGCAAATCCAGGCCATCTGCGAGCTTCTCGGCCAAGATGAGCACTCTCTTGCGAATCAGCTTGTCGTCATTCGGGATCGGGGTTTCCCAGATCAAGGATTCAAGGAACGCGCGAGCTGTGTCCTGGGCATAGGTTGAAATGAAGTTGCGAGCTGCTGGAGTGTCGCGTTGGGTTGGCGGAAGGGCCGCGGTACTCAAAAGCGCGGCAGCGATGGAATTTTTGGTCTCCGCAAGTTGAGATGGAGAAAACGACTTTCTGCGGATTGTTCAGATATGCCGCTGGTAGAGAAAGTCTGATCATAACTACCTAGCTGCAGCGGAAGGATAAGCAGGCAGTCGCCGTATCATCGTGAGCGGGATGAAATGCGGTGCT